ACATTCTGTTCAGACCCCCCCCGGGAAATGTCAGGGGGGTCGCCGTATCGGCTTCAATTGGTTTGCAGAATCCAGGAGAACGTTGTTTTATCTTCTGGCACCCGCCGGGCCCAGCCCCCCCCGGGGGAACGCTAGAGATCGTGCATTTTCTGGGGGTGGAGGGCGGACCCCCCTCCTCTCAGCAGGTATGGCGCTGTGCTCACAGGCATGGCGTGGTGCAGAAAGGCATGTGTGGTGCTCACAAACGTGTTGTGGCGTTCGCAGGTTCCCCACCTGTTGCGGCGCCGAATTCACAGGCATGGCGTGGTGTTGAACGGCATGTTTCAGTGCTCACCTGCCTGTTGTGGCGCCTTCAGGCTATTGCAGTGCGCAGACTAGTGCGGTTTACGTCTACACCCTTGTGTTCTCTTCCCCTGCCTTTCCTACTGGTGGAACTCTGGGAGCAATGCTACCAGGGGATTTCGCAACCATGTCTGAGTGGAGCAACGGTTATCCCGCGTCTGTTACAATTTGCGCTGACGAAGGCGAGGCGACGTTGAGCGATGCCATGAGTGCTGTTGCTGCGTGGCATAACATAATCCTACCTCCTCCCGCTTGCTCCACCGCCTAGTAACATCCTCCCCCTTCTTCGTCGTCCTCTGCACCTCCTCCTCCTTATCATCATCCTCCTCCTCTCCTTCATCTTCCCCTCTGGATTGCGTTGTGCATTATTGGGGTTATATAAGTGGCCGTTTGGGCCATATGGGGTTATCCGCACAGCGCCCTTGCCCCTTCGCCTCGTCGTTCCCCTCGCTCCTCCTCGTTTTCCTCATAGGTTTTCGCCCACTTTGGCGGGCCGAATTTTGTGACATGTTCGTTGCGTGTTGGCGCGCGCCGAGGTACGATGTGGCAGTTCGCTCTTATCTGTTCATATGCCATTCCAAAAGAAACCCCACCTCTTTCCAAGCTCCCCCACTCCCTCCCGCAGCCCTCATCCCCCACATCGCTCCCGATTTTCCCACCTTCCTCCCATATCTTTCCATCTCCTCTTGGCCGTCCCGTTCGAAGCAATAGACGGACGGTCTTGCCAAAACTTCACAAAGTGCCAGCCCAGCAGCTTGCGTGCCATCGATACTATTCTCAAGTGCTGCGGTGTACGCGGGCGACGCGGTGAGGGTGTCCGCGGTCTGTGGCGGGCCCCGGAACAACACATTTTCGCAAACTACTGGTCTGCCCGTTGGCACGTTGTGTTGCAAACAGGCGTTGTGGTGCACGGAAACATTGAGGCGTGCACAGGCGCTGTGGTGCACATGGTTGTTGTGGTGCACGCAGGCGTTGCGGTGTACAGGAGCGTTCTTGCACACGCAGGCAATGTGGTGTACACCAGCGTTGTTGCGCACACGGCTGCTGCAGTATACAGGTTTTGCGGCGTACATTGGCGACGTGGTGGCGATGTGCATGCAGCTGGTGTGGTGTACCGAAGCATTGTGGTGCACTCAAGCGGCGTTGTCTTGCACGAGTGCATTTGGCATTGTCGCGTGCGCAAGGATTGCAGCGCGCGCAGGCAATTGATGTGCTGATGGCGCGAGCGCACCCTGGCGGGCACACGCCGCGGCCGCCGTTACCGTTACCCGCTGGCTCCCCCCCCGGGCAACAGGAGTTACCCAAAATAAACAAATAGTCTCCAGTACCGGGGTGGCGTTTGCAGGAGGGACGACGGATGAGGCTAGGCAGGATGAAGGGGATGAGGATGAGGAGGAAAAGGAGGATTGTCAGGAGGTGAATGAGCAGTAGACAGACGCGGAAGAAGGAGAAGAGGGGCAGGTGGAGTGAGGAGGGGGGGGGCGAGGCAGGGAGGGGGGAGGGACCAGGAGCTTCTGCGGCAGTTCCCGTCTGCGAAGCCCCCGCTGGAGCAGCTGCTCAGCATGATCCCCTGCATCAAGCCGCGTCTTTACTCCATCGCCTCTTCCCAGCGCGCGATGAACAACAAGGTAGACGGTCAGGAGGATGATACGTAACGGGGATGAATGTGCGGATGAGGATGAGGATGATGGTGATGACAACGTTGGTGATGGTGGTCATGGTGATGATGATGCTGATGATGTTGATGACGATGGCGATGATGGTGTTGATGATGATCTTGTTGAGAACGACGTTGAGGATGATAATGCTGATAGTGCTGATGATGATGATGATGATGGTGCTTGTGGTGATGATGATGCTGCTGGCGAGCATGATGATTACGATTTTGAGACTGTTGCTGCTGCTGGTGATGACGATGATGATTGTGATGGCGATTGTTATTGTTGTGATGAAGATGCTGATGATGGTGATGCTGGTGTTGATGATGATCAGGGTGATGATGGTAATGCTGCTGCTGATGATGATGATGATGATGATGATGAGGATGATGATGGTGGTGGTGGTGGTGATTGTGGGGCTGCTGCTGCTGCTGCTGCAGTTGCTGTTGCTGCTGATGATGATGACGATGACGGTGATGCTGCTGCTGCTGATGGTGATGATGATGCTGCTGATGCTGCTGATGCTGCTGACGCTAAAGGTGGTGCTGCTGATGATGATGATGATGATGGTGATATGAAGGAGGACGCAGAGGGGGATTAGGAGGTGGGATAGGAGAGAATGGATAATAACGTTGAATGTGGAGTAGGATTAGCAGGAAGACTAGGAGGGGGCGGTGGACTTGGCGTGAGGACGAATCCAGGTTATGAGGAGTAGGGGCATGCGTTGGATGGAGGGGGGAAAGCGAGGTGGAGCTGATGATTGTCGTCAACGACTGGGAAACTCCTGGTGGCAAGTATCAGATCGGGACCTCTACGGACTACGTGAACCGTCTGGCCACCGACAATGACCCCTTCTTGAGCTTCCAGGTGCCCTGCGGGATCACCTCCGGAACTTTCAACTTCCCCCCCTCCATGATGCAGCCCATGATCATGACAGGCTTGGGAACTGGCTTGGCACCCTTCCGAGCATTCATCCAGGAGCGTGCCTTCTTTAAGCGCCTGGGCAAGGACGTTGGGCCCATGTGGCTGTTCTACGGCTGCCGCTACCGCGCGAAGGACTACTGCTACGGCGATGAGCTGGAGGAGTTCCAGAAGGAGGGCGTGCTCACGGAGCTGCGCGTGGCCTTCAGCCGCGACCAGAAGGAGAAAATCTACGTACAGCACAAAATGCAGGAGGCCGCCAAGGACCTCTACAAGGACTTCGAGACCCACCAGGGCTACTTTTACCTGTGCGGGCAGGCGGGAGCGGTTGAGACAGACATCGAGAACGCCATCAAGGACTCCATCAAGTCAGGCAGCAAGGGCATGACCGACAAGGAGGCGCAGGACTATGTCGAGAAGATGCACGAGGACGAGGGCATCCAGCCCCTTGTTGTCCTTGTAATCGTTCCCCCATCCGCTTACCTTTCTGCTCCTGCTGCTGCTGCTGCTGCTCCTCCTCAAAGTTCTCCTATGTATCCTTGCTCCTTCCTTTTATTTCCCCTCTTCCTCCCTCCCTCCTTCCATCCCTATCTCCCCTCGCCGCTCTCCCTCATCCGCCTCCCTTGCTCCCTTCCGCCCTCCTCGCTCGCTCCTCTTCCCTCCCCCATCACCCCTCGCCCTCCCTCCTCGCCCCCGGTCATGATGTTGCCCCGCTCCTCTTCCTCTTCCCCCCCAGCTCGTTTCTACTCGAACATAAGGTCTTCATGGTATGCAGGGCACGGAAGGCATTTTTCCCGTATGGTTGTCTGGCTCAAGGTGGCCACCTACCGCGCCCGCTCCAATGTAATATTGCCCCGCTTTACACCGAAAAAGGAATATGTCCTCCCTACAGCTTTACATTCTTAGTTGGTCGCGAAGCTCTGGCCCCCTCCCACATTCGCAGCCATGGCCCGCGTGGCATCTCCTTGCTGCGAGCGCTCTACATCCCGCTGTACATCAATGTGAATTTCGTCGCGCCCCCGCTATACGGCAACGCGGTTCCCGCGCTTCCGACTCTGACTCATGGTCGTGCAGCACCCCCATGTCGCCAAGGCAGGCGACGCGCATTTAGGGGCCGTCATGCCATCACCCGCCCAGCCACCAGGTGTGACGGAGCGGGACCTGCGCGCGAACGCCTGACGGAGCGGGGCCTGAATACGTTCTACATCAAGGACCGCGGCCCCGGGCCGCCTCTTTCGGCACCTTGCCCTGGGCTCGCTCGCCTAGACTATGTCTAAGCAGTTCGTGGACCCGCCGCCAAAATTTCACTCGCCCGTGAGTGCAGCCTCAGATGTCAGGCAGCTGCTCGACACAACGTTCAAGTCTCTGTGTTGGCGACGGGCCCCGAGCTCCTTCTGACCATGTTGCAGCAGCCTTGGGAGGAAGTGGCAACGGACGCGATGCCTCTATTGCGTCCACTTGTGGGTGTCTCCAAGGGTGTCAGACATTCGACGGATCCGACGTTCGAATATCCTGCATTGGCGAAGCGTCCGAGCTCTGAGCGACTACGTTGCCAGCGCCGCGGGAGACCCCGGCAAAAAAACACGGTCAGATAAAGTCGGATTTTGTCAACAATGCCGTCAGTTCTCCTAGGGGCCGCGAAACGAACTTGGGGTCATTCGTTTCCGAACTCATGGAAAAAGATTCCCCGGTACCCGCGCGCCACCCTGTTACCTGGCAGACCCGGGCCCCGATGCAGACTCCGATTGACTCTTGCGCAGTTGGTGGTGCCCAAAACAGTGACGACGTGACCCGCGACGAACAGCCCCGCGCGGAATGCTCCAAGCGCCGACCGCGCCTCAACCGCGCGCCAGAAGAACATGCCCAAACTCGCTGATGAGGAAGAGCACTCCCAGGACTTACGCCCGCGGCTGCTCCGAGGCAGTCTGCCCGAGCATCGTCGCCACCGGTTCCCAGGGCTCCAGCGCCTCCTCGACGCATGGAGGGGGGTCCGCTCCATATGGAAAACCATCGGAGTAGGCGCGGTCGCTGCCGCCGGCTGCATCGCCTGCGCGGGCGCGGGCGGCGTCGGCGCTTCCCGGCGCGCGGCCTGACCAGGCGGCGGGGCCAGCTGGGCGAGGATGGGGCGCTCCCGAGCGGTGCCTGCCCGGGTGACTTTCAACCGATTGCCGCAGGGGCGCGTCGGCGACCTCCTCGCCAGTTTCGACATCTTCCGCAGCTGGGCGCAGCGGGCTGGCCAATTCATGATCGGCTACGAGGGGCTCAGTTGCCTCTTGCTGCGCGCGGTGGGAGCGTCGAACGTCCAACTCGCCATGGTCTCGCAGCGCTGCAGCGCGGCCCGCCCCCGCGATCGCTCAGCAGCCGCTGCGCGTGACTGGCCAGCTGCGACGTCTGGGGCGCGCGATCGAGGACTCGCTGGGCCACCTCGCCCCCGCCGTTCGCGCCGCGGTTCGCTCGCGGGCGCGCCCGCGCAAGATCAGGCTCGGCGTGCCTATGGCGCCGCGGCCTGATCGAGCAGGGGCGCGGGGGCCCCGCTGCCCTGGGCGCGGCGCCGCGCCCACCTGCAGCGCCGGCCGCCGCCGCCCTCGCCGCGGCAGCCCCGGCGCAGGTGGCGCGCCCGGCAGGGGGGCGTCGACTCAGGCCCCGCCGACGCAATCCGCTCACTCGGCGAAGAGACTGCTGTCGACGACCCCGAGCATCGCGACGCCCCAGTGGAACAACGCGGCGCGCTTCGGCCTACGAACGCGCCAAGTCACGACGGCGCAGCTTCGACAACCTCGAGCCCACGCGCCGCGCGCGGAGCGTCATCGCGCGCCAGGGCAGAGTCCGCAGCCAGGGGAGTTCCACCTTCCTGGCCGACGTGTTCGAGAATGACCTTCAGGAATCTTTCGGCGGCCTCTGGGCGGGCAAGGGCAAGGGAAATAGAGAGCTCGGGGCCGGTGGCATGGGCGCGCGCCGCCTGGGCAACCTGCAGGGCCCTGGCGGGGTCCGTCTCAGGTGCCGCGAATGCGACTCCGAGAAGCACTTCGTGCGCGACTGACCCGGCAAATTGCGCGGGGGCGCGCGCTCTTCGTCGGCGCCCCCGCCCCGGCCGCGCCGCCGCCGCCGCCGCCGACATCGCCGCGTGCGCATCTGGGATACCAGGGGTCGCCTGGACCAGCGGCGCAGCGCCCCGCACCAGGCGCGCGCGCGGTTTGGATGACTAGGGGCACTTCCAGGACTCCCCATCTGATGATTGGGGTCCCTGGCGGAGGTGATGACGCAGAGCGCCGACGGCCACCCCTGCGACGGCGGGCGGCCGACTCCAGAGGCGGCAGCGCCGCGGGCAGCTGCAGCGGCGGCGCCGAGTGCGTCGTCCGACGGCTCGCGGCAAACAGTGGGCCGCAGCCGTTGGTCGAGCTGGGTAGGGGTCCTCGCCCCCGTCGTCCTCTCCCAGCCCGCGCGAGGCTGAGCAGCGACGCGCGCGTCCAGATATGGCTGAGCTCATGGGCCGCGCGCAGGAGGGCTCTGCCCCACTTGCAGGTCTGGCAAGTGCGCCGCCGGCCCGTGCGGCAGGAATTTGGGCCGCAGCACCAGCCGCGCCCGCGGCGCCTGGGGTCTCGGCCGCATCGGCAGCAGCGCCACCGCAGCCGACGCCGTCGCGCTGGGCGGGGGCGGGCGGTGAATTCCCACTGCGGCCTGCCCAGGGGCCCGGCAACAGCGCGCCATGTGGATCAATCCTCATGCGCGGCCGCCGCCGTCCGCGTCGGCCTCGGCGTCGCCGCCCGCGCCGGAGACTCCCCGGAGAACTAGCTCGCAGTCAACCAGAACGTCTCCGCCGACGCGAGCCGGCGGTTGAGAAGAGTGGCCGCGTGGTTCGACAGCCGCGAGACCTGGATCTCGAGCGGCGGCCGATCCGAATCCAGCGCGCGCGCCGCCCCCGACAACGCGCAGCGACGGCGCCTCGACGAGCTCCGCGCAACGACGGCACCTCGGCGAGCTCCGCAGCGCGCAGCTAGCGCTGGAGCTCTTGCGACAACAGACGAGCAGCGACGCCAGGCCGCGTTGAGTTGGACAGAAACTCTTACCAGTCTATCTCCCGCGCTGGCCGCTTCGCCTGCCGCGCATGTCCCAGTTGCTGGTTTTGGCGACGACGACGACAGTGAGCGCCCAATTTGTCTCTGAAGGGTAGTGCGCCGCAGTGCCACCACATCTGAGGAGACTCCGCCGCGGCGGGGCCGCGCGCAGTCTCTTCGGCCAGCGCCGGCGCCCAGGGCGTCGCAGCAGGGCCACGTGCAGTCAGCAGGCAGCGCTTCTAGTTCCATGTCCGTCGCCGATGTGGCGGTGACCTGCGGCGCCCGCCAGGACCCGCGCATGCCGCGCGCCGACCTGGGTTGCCGTGGTGGCCCGCCTCGTCAGATGCAGGTGCCACTTCTTCGAAGGGCTCGCCGTGCTACCTGGCGAGCACCGACCTCTGGGCGGCCGGTTAGGCCTCGTCGTCGACGCAGGCGCCTGGACCAACATTTGGGGAATACGCCGCGCCGCGAGCCTGGCCGACAGGGCCCAGGAGGCGAAGTTCGCGCCCGCGGAGGCGAAGCTGTCGATTTGCTCCATGTGGCAGGAGTCGGCAAAACCGATTTGGTTGCGCACTGGGAGGTGCATTGCCCGATTGCGGCGACCGCCCGCGACGGCGCGGCAACGCAGCGCAGCGCGCGCCCTCCGCCGAGGTCGCAGGCTTCGGCCCCCCTGCCTTTCCTGGTCTGCAACCCGTGCAGTCCAACAACGGGTTGGCAGAGACAGGCGTAGACCACGAACGCCTTGCGATCCCTGGGCCTGGCGGCCACGAAATGAGTGGGGCCCAGCCGCCATTCATTTCGACTTGCAAGCTCGGCGTCGCGCGCGGGCCGACGCCGGCCGCCCTCCGGGGGTCTACCACCCAAGCGGCTCGCGCTACTGGCAGTGGGCATCAACTGCCGGGGCGACGACGCCAGCGACGGCCGCGATCTTGAGAAGCTAAAGGTCCAGCTTCTCAGCTCGCGCGGACGTCGGCATCGCGACTTATGAGCGCGCATTGGTCTCTGCGGGCGCGGCGTCTCTCGCGCCGCTGGGCGCCTACCTGCGGGTCGCCCCGCGCTCGGGATTTGCCATTGCGCGCCAGTGCCGCGGTGGCAGCAACTTCCCAGAGATACAGGTGCACTGGCGAGAGGGGGAGAAGGGAGACAGCGCAGCTTCGCCAGGGTCTCTCGGTGAATGTGTCGCCCTGGACTCCGAGGAACTGCCCCGCTAGGAGGAGGGCGGGCCGGCCCGCGCGGCCGACCCCGCGGACCTGCCCCGGCACCGGCGGGCAGCCGGGCGGGGTCGCCCAGCCTGGGCCCTGGAGAGATGACGGAACACATCGCTAGCGCGGCAGGACCGCGGCTTCGACGTCGCGCGCGCCGCCCTTCCCGGCTGGTGCTCGCGAGTCAAGGGCTCCAGCGCCGGGGTCGTGATCTTGGCCGCCGCGGCCAGCGGTGGCCGCGCGCGCGCTCCGCTGGACTCAGCGTCGGGCCCGCCGCAAGCATTTGGCCCCGGAGGCCAAACGCAGCAGCGCTCGCGGCGCTGGCCGCGGTGCTGGTCCGCATCCAGCCGCGCGGACGCGTGTTCAAGCTGGGGGGGGCACCAGGGCGACTGGGCGATTGTCGACAGGAGAATGCGCGCGACTTTGATATGCCGCGAGGTCTTGCGTCGCGAGGTCCACTGCCGTTGCGCGCCATCCAACGCGGGCGCGTCCCGGCAGGCGCGCCCTCGCCGTGGCGGCGCGGCAGCTTGCGCGCCGGACTCGAACGCGTCTTCCAGTCTCGCGGCCACGCGCAGACGCGCAGACGCGACACCCAGCCGCGCGCCATGCCGCGCGACGCCAAGCAGCGCGCTCAGGACAGCAGTCTCGACCAGCAACGGAAGGCGCCCGACGACGACGTCGTCGGCTCTATCCCGCGGCAGAGCGCGCGCGCCAGAAGGCGAAGGTAAAAGGCGCCGCGTGCCCAAGGCGGGGGGCCGGGTCGTCGATGGCCGCTGCGACGATTGCGATGCCGACCATGCGGGCTCGGCCCCATATCTTCTCGGCTTCCTGGGCGTCGGCGACCCGGGTCAAAAAGATGAGTTGGGCGACGGCGAAGCGCGCGGCAACCTCGCCTCAGACTTGCCAGCGAGGTGGTTTCAGGGCTCGTCGGCCCGGGCATTGCATCGTCATCTG